TCATTTGTTCCTTCACTGTAGAGTGACTTCCCAGATATGGTATATGCTTCAAAGCATTATTCAAGATCCTTGGGTGGTGCCTGAGCATACTGCTGACCTACTAAACTGTTGGATGAGAAGAGGGGGGAGTAAAACACAGAAAAAATGGTGGAATCTAGTTCCATCTTGCATATGGTGGTCAATTTGGAAGGAAAGAAACAATAGGTGCTTTAAGAATATTACTAACCCAATGCAGAAAGTTAAAGAAAACTGCATTAATACTCTATATTTTTGGTGTAAAGAAGAGGGTATATATGAAGTAGATCAGTTAGTAGATTTCATAGGCTCTTTGTAATCATGACTACTTGGCCTTTGAATGTTTTTTTTGTTTGGTTGCCACCATACCCTCATTGCTGATGAATACAACTTTACCATTCTCAAAAAAAAAAATAGGACTCATCATGTGGGAGGTTTAAGCTACATGAGATATGGGAATTTTTATTTTTTTTTAATTGGTAAATTGGGAGATATGGGAAATTTCATAATTGTGTTTCTAATATTCTTCATTTTTGTAATGATATTCTACTTTGTATAAATTTCTTGAGATATTCAAGAAAAATGGTATGATACATGAAGATGTTACACATATATTCAAGTAGAATGGTTAAAGTAGAGAAATGCTACAAGAGTCTTCTGTTTTAAGGATATGTACACCAAAGTGAAAGCAAAAGTCCTACAAACGGTTGCGAGCTCATAAATGTTATACGGGAGAGAATCTATAGACCTCTAAAGTCCAACATATTCACAAGATGAGTGTAGTGTCCAAAAATATGCAAATGCTAAAATGGATGTGTTGTCAAACAAATTTAGCCAAGATTAAAAATAACTATATACAACAGAAGGTGCAAGTAGCACACAGAGGATAAAACGAGAAAAGGTCAATTGAGATAGTTTGGTTCATGTCCCAAGTTGACCTCCAAGTATACATGACCCAAGGTGTTAAACCATAGTGAGTGTAGGTTTCAGAGGGACGAATTAAACCCAAAATCACATGGAAAGAAGTTGTATTGGAGGACCTGTAATCTTTTGGAACCCATGCATGCTTAGTGAAAAGTAGGGCACAATAAAAGAAAAAGATTAATATTGGTGATACCAATATGTTAGGATTATGTTTTAATCATATTTCAATGTATATTTAATCCATTGCTTTCTAGGAGTCTTTTAGTCCTGCCAGAGATATACATGCCAGTAGAAAATAGAGAACTTCTAATAGTCTTTTATTTTTAGTTTCGTCTTGTGGAAAATTGCATTGAAATGATCTTAAAAGGAGCAACATGAACAATTAGATATCATATATCCGACCCCAACATGTTTGGGATATCAAGACATAGTTATTATTATTTTAATAAAAATATTCTAAATGATATTTTTCCTCTCAGAAAGTCTTTCTACCCCACAAAAGTAGGGGTAAGGTCTGCATACACCTTACCCTTCCCAGACCTCACTTGTGGTATTACACTAGGATGTTATTGTTGTTGTTGTTGCTATTCTTAATGATATTTTTGGTTTCTGCCAAAATAGTAAGAATATTCTACAAAACATGCTTAATGATTCATTCAATTATCTCTTATTTACATACAAGTAAAGAAAAAAACAAGTCCTAAAACAGCTATCGAAACCCCAATTCTAACAAAAGATAAGAAAGTATTGTAGGTTGATGGCTAGCTAAACAGAAGAAAACTATTTTCTAGAAAAATAAACAAACTATATGCTGATTGCTCAATGTTAACAGAAGATTCATATAATCAATTCCAACAAATTTGGAACTGAAGTGCAATTGACTAACAGAAAAAAGCTCTATTTTTGTAGCTTGACTAAGATATGCTGACTGAGCTATGTAATCAACATTTTGCTAGCAAACAAAGAAACCTTCAATTTCCTAAGTCAAACTCAGAAATGCGAAAATTCAAACAAATTCGACACACACAGATGAGAATTGAGAAACCAAATGAAATCTCTAACCCTAAGGGAAGTTTTAAGAGCTTACTGATTAACAACAAAATGAGAGTGGATAATACAACTCCAACAGCAGTATACAGTTGAACGGGAGGTATATCATTGATGAATTCTTCAGCTTCATTTAACCATTGCTGCATTTGAATCTTCAATTGCTCCACTTTCACCTTATCCATTTTCCCCCAAAAATTCTTCATTCAATTTAATCTTTCCCCTATGAATTACAACAAACTTAATTCCAATTAAATTACAAAAACAGATACAGATAGTAGAACGTAAATAGAATTGAAAGTCGTCGGAACCTTATCGGAACGGCGAAACCTCACTGGCGATATAGAGGGCCACCGATGACTGAAGAGAGTTACAAGTGTATCAAAATGGGTTTATCGAAAAGGAAATTGGGCTTTAAAGTTTACTCAAGTTTTGGGTCTTTACTTACGAACCGAAAATGCAGCCCATTGCCCAGTAGGAAATGTAATAATTGATCGGAGAAACTAAGCAAATACCCCATAAAAGCAAAACAATTACAAATATATACCCATTTACATTCATACCCCACTAAATAATTACATTATATACCCCAACTAATTTCGCGTAACTGATATGGTATCATATATTGTATTGGTATTATTAAGGCTGATAATTTCGTTTAATTGATACTAAAACAGTATATATATACTGGTATCATTAAGGTTTCTTATACAGAAATTACTCATTAGTCAATGATACCACAATAATATACATATACTCTTATAGTAACAAGAAACTTCAATGATACCACAACAATATACGCTTGAAGTAGATTTGGACTTACTTTAAGTAGATTTGAGTGCTGAGTTCTTGAAATTCCAACACCCTTGTTTTGGAGAATAAACGCTTCACACACACGTGACTGTAGGTAGTTTTAGCTACTTTTTGCATGTAGTTCAATAAAAAAAATGTTTGAAAACTAGTCTTGACAAGTAAGTGAAACTTCAATAAAAATGTCCAAAGTTTGGCTTCATTTAAAATTGATCAAATGTTCGAACATCGCTGTTTAACAGAGTTTTATGTATGGCTACTTCAGATGCAAACAAATGGTTACTGCATCTTTCGTTTGATAACCAATCGCTATTGTATTTACTTGACAAATCATAAACGTAACCAATCGCTTAACATTACTTCTTATTTCGAAAGTAATTCTCCGATAAAAAAGAAATAAACAAATACAAATTGCATTTCAAGGGGGCTAAATTCAAGAGTTTCCCAACAAACAAAATAGGATCTAATTACATGAATGTTGAAAGAAAACTACAGAACAAGGTAGCCAAAAGAAATTGAAACATGACAAGCTAAGATATGAATCCACACTAAGTAAACCTAACAAACAATAATTGAGGCAGAGTATCATTTACTGAACAAATATTTTCAAGTAATATAACTAATCTGACAAAGACTTGAAACTAATATTACTATTGAAACTAATACTACTAATGTTTATAAGAAGATGGCACGAACAGAAGAAAAAAAATGCCAAATAAATATCCAAAATTTAACATCAGTCGACACAAATGAGTAGACCCACGAGAAGACGAAGTTTAACATCATTTTTGAAACCCATAAAATCACTTTAAAGAACAATCAGATTCAATCAAATGGATGGAGAGGGTAAACGCAAACAAGGAACTCATACACAAAGGACTCCACTAAGAAAAGAATAATAGAAGGTGTTGCAGAAAACTTAACTAAAATGTGTTCCGAATTCGAACAGAGAATACAACATGCTGAAATACTCAAGCCATGATAAGATACGTAACAAATTGTCAAGAGAATGATATGACATCTTCCAACAACGAAAACCATATCCTTACTATCTAATCTCAAACACAAAAAATACTGCTATCTTCAGAAATTTAGCTCTACAACAGAAAACAAAAGAAAGGAAAAGAGATTACCTCTTTCGGAGCAGCGAGACTGAGAGGATGATGAGCAGGGGAGCAACTTTCCACGACCACAAGTGAGCTTAACTCGAGCAAGCAAAGAATAGATACCAAAGAAAAACTAGATCTTGATTTTTAGTAAAAATCTATTGTCTCCAACCTCTCTACTCCTCAAAAACTTGTCCTTAATAGGGAAGAGATGAGGCCATTTATAGGGGAAGCTTGGGCGATTTGGGGGGGGGGGGGGGGGGGGTCG